ATCTCTGCTCTGGATTTGCCTTGTCACTTTGTAGTTCCCACTGGAATCTCGACTAGACTGTAACCTCCGTCAGGCCTGTGCTTTCTCCTCTGTGTCTGGGAAGCTTGACTTGTAATTGAATGACAGATTATGACCTGTACACAGATGAATCACCTTTCCTTTCTACCTCTAAAGATAAAGATCTTTTTCTATAGTTGTCCTGAGCAATTTCTTTCACACTTTTTCCTTCACTAAGTTTTCTTTGCCTTTATCCATAACAGGTACCAATTTGAAAGGATTGGTTCTACTCATGCATATTATGAGGACGGAAACACAGAGAAATCACAGTTCTTCCTGGCTGCTCTATTTTTACATACTAAGAAAAGTGAGATGAGGGCATATCTTGATGATGCCAAAATGGAAAAACACACAGAGAGGAATCCTCACACACACGGAGAGGAATCCTCACACACACACGGAGAGGAATCCTCACAGACACACACAGAGGAATCCTCACACACACATACAAAGAGGAATCCTCACACACACACAGAGAGGAACACTCACACACACACACAGAGGAATCCTCATACACACGGAGAGGAACCCTCACACACACACATAGAGGAATCCTCACACACACACACAGAGGAATCCTCACACACACACAGAGGAATCCTCACACACACACGGAGAGGAACCCTCACATACACATACAGAGAGGAATCCTCACACACACACAGAGAGGAATCCTCACACACACACAGAGGAATGCTCACACACACACACAGAAGAATCCTCACACACACACAGATGAATCCTCACACACACACAGAGGAATCCTCACACACACACGGAGAGGAATCCTCACACACAGAGAGGAATCCTCACACACACACACAGAGGAATCCTCACACACACACACACACACAGAGGAATCGTCATACACACAGAGAGGAATCCTCACACACAAAGAGAGGAATCCTCACACACACACGGAGAGGAAGCCTCACACACAGAGAGAGGAATCCTCACACAAAGAGAGAGAAGAATCCTCACATACACAGAGAAGAATCCTCACACAGAGAGAGGAATCCTCACACACACAGAGGAATGCTCACACACAGAGAGGAATCCTCACACACACACGGAGAGGAATCCTCACACACACACGGAGAGGAATCCTCACACACAGAGAGGAATCCTCACACACAAATGGAGAGGAATCCTCACACACACAGAGAGGAATCCTCACACACACACAGAGGAATCCTCACACACACATACAGAGAGGAATCCTCACACACACACACACACACACAGAGGAATGCTCACACAGAGAGGAATCCTCACACACAGAGAGAGGAATCCTCACACACACACAGAGGAATCCTCACACACACACACACAGAGGAATCCTCACACACACACACACAGAGGAATCCTCACACACACATGGAGAGGAATCCTCACACACACACGGAGAGGAATCCTCACATACACACACAGAGGAATCCTCACACACACACAGAGGAATCCTCACACACAGAGAGGAATCCTCACACACACACGGTGAGGAATCCTCACACACACACACACAGGGGAATCCTAACACACAGAGAGGAATCCTCACACACACACAGAGGAATCCTCACACACACAGAGGAATCCTCACACACCATGGAGAGGAATCCTCACACACACACACACACAGAGGAATGCTCACACAGAGAGGAATCCTCACACACAGAGAGAGGAATCCTCACACACACGGAGAGGAATCCTCACATACACACACAGAGGAATGCTCACACACACAGAGGAATCCTCACACACACACACAGAGGAATCCTCACACACACAGAGGAA